CCCGCACCCTCCCCAGCCGCCTGCGCCCCCCGCAGGCACCCAGCACCACGCGCTCAGAAAAAGGCACGCAGCCGTGGATGCCAACGCTGGTGCTCACGGGTGTCACCGCTCGAGGGTCCGGGTCACGCTGGAGCCCGTGGCTGGGTGCTGGGGGTGTTTCTCCCCGCTGCCACCCTGCGATGCCTTCCCTGGCCCCGGGACAGGCAGCGGGCAGCCCCACTGCGACCACGTTTCCAAAAGGGTTTTTTTCCCCCCTCCAGCCCTTCTCTTATTCAAGCTGTCTGACAGGATGGAACCCGCTCCGAAATCACCGGCAGTGAGCCCCGGCGCACCCTCTCCTCTGCCATCAAATGGGGTGCAGGGCCCCCAGACCCTGCAGGGTGACCCCAATTCCCTGCCACAGGCGCCCTGCATGGCGCAGGGCAGCAGGATGCAGCCGCCCTGAGAAACACCTCCAAGCCCCAAACCGCCCACCCCGGTTCACACACTGCAGCGGGTGCGTGTTAGTACCCGCTTCGCTCCTCCCCACCGCCTTCAGGACCCGCTGACATCCCAGCAAACCCTTAAATTTCCTGAAGGAATAAATTCAGCTGCGTCCTGGCCGGTGGCCGAGGAGCCGGGAAGGGATTAGCACTTCCCAGTGTCCTGTACCGCTAATCCCAAACACAGTGCGTCCTGGCAGCATGGGCAGCTGCCCGTCCCGCTGTGGCCATGCCGGGGATGCTCCCCACCGCCGGAGATGCGTTGGGGATGCCCTGCAGCACCCCAAAAGCAGGGCTGGCTGCGGGCGCAGCGGGGTGCCCCATCCTGGGGTGCCCGGCGGAGGTGGTCTCCATCCCCGGAGCCCGGCGAGGGTTAGGGCGAGTGGTTAGTGGCACACGGGGAGGTTCATGCTGCACGGCACACACCGCTCCCACCTCCTGCCTCAGTCGCTCTCGGGCCGGTATAGGTACTTCATCATCAGGCTGTCAACCTGTTTCTTCCGCTGCTTCTCCTCCTTCTTGCCCCGGCTGGGGCGTCCCGACTCCTCGCCCCCCGCTGCCCGAGGGCCTTTCTGGACGCTGGAGGTGCTGCGGCGGGAGCCGGTGGAGCCGGAGGAGGAATCAGAGGATGAATCGGAGGAGGAACCCGAGTCAGACGACAACTGCTGCTTCTTCTTCTTCTTCTTGGATTTCTTCTTGGCCTTCTTGGCGTGCTTCTTGGCACTCTTCTTCTTCCGCTCCTCCTCTTCCTCGGAGGAGCCCGAGCTGCTGCGGTGCCGGCTGGCGCGGCGGGAGAAGTCGAGGGCAGATGCGGAGCGACGGATGCTGCCGGGGGGGCGGTCGGCGGCACCCAGGGGGGCCGCGCTCCGCACGCTCCGTGTGCTCCGGCTGTCGTCCCCTGAGTCAGCCTCGGGGCTGGGGGCGCCCCCGGCCCCC